GGTAGGGTTTGGATAGAGTTCGGATTTTATTGGTGGGGGTAGGTAGGGAGTAGGGTGGGTATAATATATTATTTTTATTTTATACCATTATTATTAATTAAAAATAATAAAACCTGATTTTTTATTAAAAAAAGTGAAAATCTGATTTTTAGAAAGTTAAAACTAAACACCTGATCTAGTGTAATTTCCCGATTTTTGTAAGTACCCCATTAACATATGGTGTAATGCTCCAATGATTGGGCCAATATGACATCCATTTAGTACTATTAGCCCATTCCTGGTAGTTCTTCGATCAGGGTGCAGCTTCCCATTAGTTCTTTTTTTATTGCAGCGATGAAGAGAAGAGGATGATGGGGAAAGTTCCCTTCAGTGGCACTTGACTCGAGTGATTTTTGGCAATGATCCATTACTTCTGTTTTCTTGAAGATGAAGTATTCAAAAAATAATAACAATATACATAAGTGTTTCTTTCATTGTCTGTGCCTTAAGATCAATTAATAATAATTCTTCAATAACATAAATGTCGATTCACTTACAGACTTCGTATAACTACAATAATTAGACTCCATAACTTAAAATTCGCAACCAAACCTATAAAGAAGGGGTCAAACTCGTGATCGTGGACGTAGTTACAATATATGCTCTTGACTTGCACGCTTTTATAAATGTCGCCCTCGACTTGCATTGGCTGGTCTAACACGTCTACAACCGCGATCACAAGTTTTGTACTCAATGTATTGTCTTTCCCCGATATAACTAGAAGGGGAAAGGGAAATAAATGAAGAACAAATTGTTGACTTGCAGGTATACTCTTAACTTCATATAATGTTCTTCAGATGCTCTAAGGACAAGGATTTTGATCCTAGGTGTTCACTTAAACAATAGATTTCTGTCCTGCTGCAAATCCACCTAGAAGTTGGTATCATCTCTCAGATTGATCATTTGCAAGAAAAAGTTCCTATGTGCCTGTATAATTGGAATAATAATAAGAAAAATTGCTATGAAAACTTGAGTAAAAACCGTTGTTTTGAAAACATAATTGGTCATAGACTCGAAAAGGTGAAAGTCTGAGGGTCAAAGGGTCAAACTGATATTGAACTTGAATTGAGATGGTTTTGAGCTTTAAACGGCTAGTTGTTGATTTATTTAATTTGGTTTATTCTTTCAATTTTTTGCCTACCATCCACTTGTTCTTGATTTTTCAGTTCAACAAGTTGGTCTAATCCGATTTTGATAACATGTAAAAACAAGAATGAGAGGTGTAATGACATGGAAATTCGAAATAATGGATTAATGAATTCACAAGTACTATCCACTACTATTTCAATCTATTTATAAATGATCATGAATCCACAATTACTATCTACAACTATTTCAATCTATTTATAAATTAACCGTTTATAAATTATTCAAACTTTTAAAAACTTCTATAGACTTTTTTGAGTGGGTGACTTTTGTTGATTTTATGAAATTTTAAGTGACTTCTATGGATTTGTTGAGAATTTATTAAAGTTTTCCGACTTCTACAGACTTGATTGAAGATTTTTAAAGACTTTTCATTTTACAAATTCATTATCCCACAAAATTTTGTCGGGTAAAGTCACTAGTCATTGCCTAGTTATTGAGTCAATTGTTTCAAAAATCATTGAACTTATACCATCGTCACGAACTGCTCACCAAACTTCATTATGCTTTACAGTAGTCACTCAACTTTGCCATTTATCTCTCCATCCACCACTGTTAAAAAATCTATTTGTTGGATGCTGACGTGGCGAACGGAATTCTTAGGTGGCATCGACAGCCATTAAAAAATTACAAATCAGTAAAAACATTGTTTCATCACTCATCCAACTTACTCTAGGTCACAGTTTACTCATCAAACTTCAAAATACTTCCTAATGGTCACTCATCTTTGAGATATTGCACTCCATCCATTATCCGTCATATTTCGTTCACTTCGTTGATAATGTTCGCATAGAAAATCCATGGCTCTGTTTGGTACACATTATTTTTTTCATTCTCATTCTTCTACTCATTTTCAACCACACATTCTTCAATAAAATAATATTTTCCATCACATAATAACTTTTCCTTCATTTTTAACCACACATTCTCCATCAATCTACTATTCAATAATATATTTTTTCAAAAGAATGTGTCCCAAACACACTCATAATAAGTTACAAATGTTAGAAAAATCACAACTCAATAAAACTATCAATTTACTAAAATCACAATGTGTGAAACATGACTTCCATGGCCTCATAAACTTTTTAAAATTCCAATAAAGCGTCCTCGATTATTCTTTAGAAATATTACTTTTATAATTCGAACGTTTATTATGTGAAAAATAGGTTTCAATCTAAAACTGAAAATCGGAAACTTAACTTGATTTGTGAAAATATTTTGTCTATATTTCACCAATTTTAATTCTAATTGTATTCAATTGATCATATGGTGATTTCCATGTGTTGATGGTTTGGTTGAGTTATAATTTTTTTGATGATTTTAATTACCCGTGAAATTTTCGGACAATAAATTAGCAACGAAGTGAATAAAATATGACGAATAATGTATGAAGTGCAATTCTTAAAGATGAGTGACCATTGAGAAGCATTTTGAAGTTCGATGAGTAAACTGTGACATAGTGTAAGTTGGATGAGTGATGAAACAATAATTTTGCCGATTTGTAATTTTTTAACGATCGTCAGACGTCACCTAGGAATTCCATCCGCCATGTCAGCGCCCAACAAACGGATTTTTTGACGGTGGTGGAGAAGAGGTAAATGGCAAAGTTGAGTGAGTACTGTGAAACCTAATGAATTTCGACGAGTAGTCCGTGACGATGATATAAATTCAGTGATTTTTGAAACAATTCACTCCCCAGTTATTCAATTTTGGCGCAAATAAAATTAAAAAAATATATATTTACATCAATTCCTAAGAACATAACAAAATTTTTTATTTTATAAAATTAATATAAATTCTAAGAACATAAATTGTTCTTAACTAAAAAAGAATAGATCGATTACATGGAACTCTACATTTTGAAACAATTACATATAATTTCAATTCAAAAGTAATTATATACATATAGAATAATCATAATTTGATTAAAATAAATGAACTAAAGAGATGGAAAAATCCTAGAATTGAAAGAAAAAGATAGTTCTTTTTTTTTTTTTTTACTTTGAAATCTTCACAAATCTCAAATCACAAAGTAAATAGAAATTTTTCACCAAAAGTCTCTCCAAAAGTCAATGTCTACTTGAATATATCATCACTTATAAAGACTTTAAAAAAAGTTTCAATAGAATACCCCTGACTCTTGGACACTTTTTAAAAGCATATAGAAGTCTCAATTGAATACACCTAACTTTTAAAAAGTCTCAACTGAGTACACTTGAAATTTTTAAATATTAAAAAATCTTCAAAAGTCCCAAAATGAATACACTTCCATAAATTTTAATGCAACTTATTATTATGGGAAAATTTCATAAGAGATTAAGTATCGCCCATTTCAAAATTAAGAATAGAGGTTTTAAATTTTAAAAATCAGATTTTTATTAAATTTATTTATAATTTAATTAATTAATTAATTAATTAATATATACACATATCTATACAATTTGATCACAAATTAATCATTTAATTAGTCACATTTTATTTTTCAGCCACAAATTAGAATTTTTATACGTCAAAAATTATTTTACGATACAATTCAAAAATTTTATAGGTCACAATTTGTTCATCGATCACAAATTAAAAATTTAAAAGTCATAATTTATTTATCGATCATAAATCACAAATATTATAAGTGACAATTTATTATACAGTTACAAATTATCAAATTACGGTCACAAATTAACAATTTTTTAAGTCACATTATTTTTTTGTCACAATTTATCTTTTTTATTAGTCACACATTGTTTATTAATCATTGTTTAACCAATTTAATGGTCACAATTAACCAATTAATATGTAATCACCACCAACGCTTGTGATCATTACATCGCCACTGCATCCAGCAGCACCACCACCCCCACTCCGTCGCCACCAATAACAACATCACCATCTCAAACAAATCAACACCACAACCTCCCAGCACCAATGTTACCACCTCCAACAAACTACCACTTTTATCTTTAAAACCACCACTGCCAACAACAAGATCCATCGTCGCCGCTACCAACAAAACCATAGCCACCACCAGATCCAACATAATCGCAGCTACCCAAACACTACCACCACCACAATCCCCATCCATCAACTGAAAACACAACCTAAAAATCTCACACCAGCTCGTGGCGGTGCAGATCCCGACCATGATGCCCACGGCACAAAAATAACCACCATCGCCAATCCCGACCACTTCACAAAAATAACCACCACCGTCCCACACCAGATCATGGTGGTGCATATCCTGACCATGATGTGCAGCAAATCCCGACCACATCACAAAAATAACCACGACCGCTGCATGCATGCACACACCCAACCATCGCACCACCATCGCACCCACAGCATCGCAACCGCACCCACAGCAACACAACTGCACACACCACCACAGTCACGCACCACTGCTGCTCGTTCCGACCTCTGCACCTCACACCTCCACCACCACCGCACCGCTGAAAAATTTGGGTCAGTCACTGTGAGAATGGTTCCTGCAGCCCGTGGAGCAGGAATTTTGGCTGCCCGGGTCCCAAAGAAGGTATTCCAGTTTGCTGGAATTGAAGATGTCTTTACCTCTTCTCGTGGATCTACTAAGACTCTTGGAAACTTTGTTAAGGTACAATTTTCTACCTTAATGTTTCTAGATTATATCTTTATTATAAGTATATAAACTGTTTATGATATATTTTTCACAATTTTGGTGTTTTATAATGAGTGGAATATATTTACATTCATACATAAGTGCGCTTTTGATTTGGTATGGACTTTTAATTGGAAAAATTATTGCTAAAATTATGTTTTATATACGATGTTGTCTCTAATTTAGAAATTCTTATGTTTTAGAAGTATAGGTAAATGTTTTAAATTGTTATATACATTTTTAATGAACATCTAGCGTTCTTGAAATTTGTTTTAGAATCTTAAGCAGTGCTGCAGTGGCAATTTATTCTTAAGGTTTAGTGAGCAGTTTTCTCTGTTGTTAGCACCATGCGTGCATATTGTAATTTATTGATTATTTCCATATCATTTCATTCTTCGCCTACCTGTTTGGTAGAGTAGTCAGTTATGGTTATAATGTTTAATTTTCTGAGGCAACTGCTATCAGGGAGAGTAAATACCTTCTCGTGTGGTTCTTGCTGTACCGTGTCTCTCATTTTCTGGGTCTTATATGATAATGGAATACTGAGTTCACTTTAGAAGTAAAGAAAATGCACAAGAAAGCATTCCAGTTGTAAATTACTCTGCTGCGGCAAGTCACCTTCTCAAGTAATTTCTGTTATCCATATTAATGCTTCCCTATTCTAATTCCTTGCAGGCAACTTTTGATTGTCTGTTGAAGACTTGTGGCTTCCTTACTCCAGATTTCTGGAGGGAGACTCGCATCTCAAAATCTCCTTTCCGAGAGTATACTGATCTTTTGGCAAGGCCGCCGCCAAGGTTGTCCATGTGGTGGAGGATGCAGAGGCGGCCAAAGTTTACAAGGACTGAGATATTTGCTAGAATGTGCATATCACAGAATATACCCGTTTAATTTTGTTTTGTGCTTGGACTATTATTTTATTAAACAAGTCTGTTTGTACAAAGTGGAATGGACTATTTGTTTCTCTCTTATTCTTGGGAATTATTTGCTGCTTTTTGTCTCAGGATTTTTGGAATTGTTTCGTAGTTATGAAGAATCCATCCTTTTGCACTTGTTTTATTAACCTTCTCTTTCACAAGAAAATAAAAATAAAAATACCATTCCTTAAAGGATTTTACTACTTCTACATCAAAATGGTACATAAGCGGTTATCGAAAATGATGTCCAGGGAAAAGATTGGTGAAAAAAGTGATTGTGTTTTAAATTGGCAAATTGTAGAGTGTTATGTGACATTATATAATCTTTTATGTAAATCTTAATGTGCATCTAAGGAAGTCTTTTCTTAGAATTGGAAGGGAGGAGAAAAATAATTTTGCTAGTGGTAAATCAAAAGATACACCTAAGGGATTACACCCCCTCCCCTTACATGGGATGGAATCCACTTGTATAAAATATTTTTTATGTGGGTCCCATCCCCATGTGAGGGGGTTGTAACCCCTTAGGTACACACCTAGACACCACTAACAAAACCCAAAAAAAATGATCCATTCCACTTGGTTTCTGAAGTCAGAAGATCTGTCCCGAAGATCGTGGTTGATGATTCCTTCCTACTATGATTGTTGGCTATTTTTCAGTAGTGGAAGTCAAAAAGAGATTTAAAATGGTCTTTTTCTCCAATACATCATTTTTCACCACCCTTGTTCATCTCACGTTGGAAATATTTTTCTAAAAATGTCGTTTAGAAACTATATGATGTATAGAAGATTATCTCGAGTCACTTTTAGAACAAAATTTTTAAAGTGTCGAGCCGGAGGAGTGGAGGTCAGAAGTGGCCGGCCAGCCAAGGCTGCAGGATGCAGTATTCAACAGCAACATGCATGTTGCAGCCGGCCAATTTCATAAGATTCATTCCTGGCCATTGCGACCTACCCCAACACATCACACAACCAACGTTTTCCCTTCTTCCCCACTTTCCTCGCTTACACTGCCCTTCTCCGACTTCTCTTTGCTCGAGAACTTTTTCATTGAGGTAGAACTTAAACTTGAAATAGTTGTTCATATATTGATAAGGGACGTATAATTTCTCGTCAAGAGAGAGCCACAATAGATCCTTCAAATCCCACAAGTGAATTTTGGTTGGACTTACCTTGAAACTCGCCGAGATTGTTACATTATTTTCTTGATAAGAGATTTAGTTTCAAACCAAATTCGAATGGGAGAAGTTTTACACGCTAATGTACCTCAGATGATCAACGTCTTAGCCCCTATTTAGTGCACATGAAAATCAATTTTTTTTTTAGATTATGATGAAAGTTAATGAAATGTGTAGTTGAAAAGTTGTGAATCCCATAAAATATGTAGTTAAAATTAATTGTTAACTTTTGACTTAAATGTTAATTAACTTTTTAGCTGAACCAAACACGAATTTAAATACATTGAGAACATTGAAGGATGCATGTGGTTGAGATCTTATAACCTAACCATTGTTTTAAGAGGAATTTGAATATTGACTTGAAAATTACGAGAGTGTTTAGTGGGGATTAAAATTAGATTTTTAGTTGATTGTAATAAAAGTTTTTGAAATGTGTGGTTGAAAAGTTGTGGGACTCATAAAAGATGTGGTTAATATTTATTGTTTGACTTTAACTTGGATTAAAATCAAATTTTAATATGGACCAAATAAGAAATCTGAATAAGCTCAAACCAACGGTAAAAGGAGTTAAATAATAAGTTTTCTATGTTTTGGGTGTTTTGAGAGTTTTCACCAAAAACACTAAAAAGGTCAAAAATATTTTTTGAGTTTTATTTTATAAGTTTAGTTTTATTTTCGAAGATATACTTTCAAAAATACTAGAGCTAACATGTTTCGAGTATGTTGCAAAACCAAAAATTGACGACGCTTGAAAATTTTCAAATTTTCCAAAATTATTAACCACAGTCGCTGCATGGAGACTAAAATCTCACTCTAAGAAGTCTCTCTTCTCTAAGATTCTTATAATTCTTCTGGTTAGTTTGCTTTTCCTCCTCTTTTTTCATTTCTGTGTTCTCCCATGCATTTTCTTTGTTTTAATTGGTTTCAATTTGCATGCTTTTTCTTGATTAGTAGCGATTCGCGTGTTCTTGAAATTGATGGGTTTTGTTTTTTATATTTTCTTTACAGAAAGAAGTTGAACGTATTTTTTCTTTCAATCTTTTGAGTTTAAAGGGTTATTTGTTTGTTCTTTGATTAAAGGGATTTTGGGATACAATTCTTGAAAAAAGTTAATTGAAGTTTGTAGGTTGTTACTCAAAGAATGGAATCCGAGGGTAGTAATAGTTCTGGTGAAGACGAAACTCACAATCGGGTCCCCAAATATAACCAGATATTCGGGCAGGGATACTTGTATGATGTGGTGCGGTTGGGTGATTTAGGAAAGTCCGAGAGTAGCACTAATCTTAATGAACTTGCTGAGAATGTGATGGCTGCTGAGGCTGATAATCAACCAATGGGGTTTTTTAATAATGAGTCCACTGTAAATCAACCCGCATTGGACACATCTTTGAATCTGGAATCGAGTCGTGCGGAGGGAGACCTGTATGATATCGTAAGGAATCACTTGGGTGATTTAGGTAAACCCCGGAGTAGCATGATTCTTGATGAACTTCCTGAGAATGTGAGTGTTGCCGAGGCTAAGAAGAAGACTTTTGATGAAGTTTGTCAGGATATTCAACAGGGGGAGATTAATCTTGACTGGACATTCAATCTTGGGGAGATGATAAGTTCGAACCCGATGTTAGGAGGGGTTGGTCATATGGCACTGCCGCAGCAAAATCAGTGGATGCAATATCACATTCCAACTATTCATCCACGACAGCAACAAGACATGCTGCCGCCTGGCCATCGGGTTCAACAGCCTATTCTTGGTGTGGAAAATGTGATGTTAGATAGAATCATGGCTTCCTTTTTGATGGGAAGTTTATCGGACACACAGAACCAGGAATCTTCAGCAAGGGCACGAGCAAGGAGGCAGCAGAGGACGATCCTGATTAAGGAAACAAGATCACAAGCGAGGAAGGAGGTAAGATTTCGTCTGTTTGATTTATGCCTATTATTTTCTTTAATTCTACCATCCCATTGGATATTGCTGTGTTGATCAGCAGGCCTATCTGCAAGAGCTGGAGAGCAAGCTTTCGCGTCTGAAGTTGGAAAATGAAAGGCTTAAGCGCATGAAGGTAGGACTTATTTATCTCTATGATCAAGATTTCGTGTATCTTCCATGGAACCTAATCAGGCTCCATTTCAGAAACTTCCTCGCCTGGAACATTTAGCCATCAAGACATTTGCCATTTGGAAATCCATACAAATGAAATTACCAAACAGGGGCGACACTTACCAAACACACTATAGAGTGGTATCAATAGAATAATATTTTCAATGTACTCAAAAGATAGAAATTACAAGAATTACACGAATTTTTTTTTCTAAACGTGATATTTGATTTTTTGCTCTCCTTGAAAAAATGAAATACCTCAAAAAATAGCGATGAGCAGTAACCATTTTGTTGGTTAATGATTACATATTGGAAAAACAATCATACTACATGTACATAATCATTCACACAATCTTTTACACCTCCCTCACATGGAGGGGGGTCCCACACACAATAAAAACAATCATGCTACATGTACATAATCATTCACACAATCTTTTACACTCCCCTCACATGGAGGGAAGTCTCACATACAATAAAATATTCGCGCACACTATTCATTTGAGACAGGTGTACGTACACCTGGTGTACAAACAACTTTATCCTTGGAAAAATGTTGCTTTGTAAAGTGATAATGTTGTGTAACAAAATGTGCTTTTGATTTATTTGCCTAGAATTGTTGCAAACTGTGACAGAGTATAACAAGAGATCAATAAGCTTGTAACACTCTTTATTAAACTTTTAAATCAGATATGCGGCCTTAAGTTTTCGAGTGTTATAAACAGCTGTGGTCTTGGAACCTGAATTTCCGCCATTGTCTATAACTTATTACGAAAGTATAGAGAGCTGAAATTCAAGTGCATTTTCACTTCATAATATTATCGTTCCTTTTGTAGAAAACCTTTATTATCTATCAAGACATATCCTAAACCTTTTTTATGATTTTATCCCCTCTCCTCCTCCTTGTTTGAATTGCATTTGCATTTCATAGGACGCTTTTCTTGTGAACATGGATGTTCGTAGTTCCCAGTAATACGTTTTCAAGTGTAACAGACTAAACCAAATGTCACATGCTTACGTTTCATGATTAAGCCAGCGTATTTTATTTTCGTATTCACATTTCTAATGTGCAATTAGTGATCATAAGAAATCTTTAGGAATATAAGTAAGACCTAAGCAGAGTCGTTTTTTATTCTCATCTGAATCATTTATCATTTTTTAGGGAAACCTGTATTTATATTCTCTGGATGGAAGAGTCACCTGTCTCATTGAATACCTGGTTTTAAGCATAACGGACCAACGGTGGTTCTTAGTTTGCCCCCAGAGGAACCATTTGACACTTCAAAACATTAGATGCCAGGAACCAAAAAACAATTAAGTATCAAGTGCATCCATAGTTCTGCTTCACATTATTGCCCATATAACCTCTGGTTCACGTCTTTCGGTATGCTGGTTTTATTGTAGTGGTAGTTGAAATTTTAAATTTTCCAATATTGAGGATAGAGAGTAAATCACTGTTGGGATTAATTGCAATTGGAAGTATTTCTTTCTTACAGTATGTTCATGATATCCAACTCCACCGTTGAGACAAAAGATACACTTAGACAACTTTGTTGAGCTCTTGTCATCACGAACAACGTCACATGCATTCATCCATTCTCCCATTATTTTAAAAACTTAATTCACATTTTTTAGTTATCAATGTAAAAACTAGCAGGAGGCGGAGATGCTATTGCCTAGCAAACCAGCACCAGAGCCGAGGTATCAACTTCGCAGAACCAGCTCATCCCCTATATGAGAATGATGAAGATTCACAAGTTGTATTTCAATTTACATTTCATTAGCTAGTGCTAGTTTCTTGTACTTTCTGTATGGAATACTCACTCTAAAGTCCATTGGCTGTCTTTCTCTGTAACTATTCTCTTATATGTACATATTATAGTCTCAACTTGGAGTTTTGGGACCAATTTGGTACAATGTGAGTCCTGGATTGTTACAATCAATGAGACTTATTTTAGCACATAATTTTCTGTAACTTATTAGTTTCTTTGATATTTGAGACAAGTTCTTTCACAACAGGCATGTCCTTTGAGAACACCATTTTCAAAAATTATATATGTACACCCATTCTGCAGAATTTTCATTTATCCATTTGCATTTGTTATGCAATTAATTATTCATGTTTGTGTGTTCAAGTCCTTCGTTGCATAATGTTTGAGTCCCACTTTGTCAAAGAGAGTATAATGTACGTCTTGATTCATTGTAATACTACTGCCAAACTGATCGTTATATTTTGGAAACAAATTGTTGAAGAGCTGCAAACGAGTCTGGTAACTTTGTCTTAAGAAAAGGGATCAAACTTTTATCTCAATCAAAAAAATTGTGTAAATGAAATTTCGAAAAAAGATTTTATTTTTACTATATAAAGTCATTCTGTTAAATAGAACTTATTCAAAGAAAAAATTTGTTGAATGTGCAAGTTGCTCAAAATACTTGAGGTTTTAAAGCCTACCGTGGAAATCTTACAAACATTACAGACTTCCTTAAATTGTGTGCCAGACAAAAGCAGAAAACACATTGATTCTATTGACAATCATTTTTATATGAATATTATGATAAGATACAGTACTGCTGCCCTTCGTCTTAACAATATAGAATCCAATTTTACTAAGTGAAGGGGCCTGCAAGCTTTTACCTTCACCCTCAGTTTGTTCCTTTTGAGTTTCCTGGTAAAATTCAAAGTCATTAGTCTTTTTATTATAATAAAGACCATTATAAAGATAACTATATATAATTTCTTCATGTACTCTGATAGCACAAGAAAATTGCATCAGAATTATAATCAGTGCTGTATAGACAAGGATGCTGCTTGAAACTCTGCATCCTCAAAATCTTTCTATCTATAATCAAAACCTCTTTATTGCTCAAAGGACTGGAATTTTCCTTCAATACCGTTGTCGCTGCATTGCTAGATCCTCCACAAGCTTTTGCTCTATTCTCCTTCATTTGCACATCTACTGAAGTTTCATGTCTGTGCCAATATCTGATGTGTTTATGTTTATCAAGGACGAGGTATGTTGAAGTATTGATTGAACTGGTATGAGTTTAGGCTTGTGCAGAACTCGAATATTGGCTTCAGTGTTAGGGATTCTGGAAGACCTGATTTGGCCCTTTTTTAAAAAAAAAAAAAAATTGGTTAATCAAGGCCTGTTGGGGCAGGAATTATGGAAGATTTTGAAACTTAAACTTTTTGGCAAGCGGTTTCTAGTGCTTGAAGTCCACACCTACAACACGAACCAATGTTATATTAATTTTCTTTATAGCTTGTTTGATAAGTTAGATTGTATAATACTATAGAATATTAAAAAAGAAACTAAGCTAAAATATTGTCCATTATAAGTCATTCTTCACCAATACTACATACCAAATAGGTTGATAAGGAATGAAAGGATTGACTGCATTTCAATTGATGATGTTTTGGAGGAATAGACAGTCATCTGTCTTGTTAGTTTCATATTTGAACTTAACATGAAGAGCCATCCCGAAAAGGGTGCACTCTCTAACACCATTTGTTACCATCACAGTGAATAGAAGCACTTTTGAAATCGAACTCGCAAGGAGAAAGTGCTAATTAGTTAGAAGCCTACAAGTCGAGCAGAACCGATGTGGAATGTGATTAGGGTCCTTATAACTTACCGAAAAACTCTACATTAACAATGTCATGGTTTCTTGATCGTGAATGAATGTGAACTTACTAGTTATGAGATTGAAATCACAAGAAATAATGGCTTCAAATTTATCAATATTTCTTGGCCTATAATAGTTGAAGAATAGGATCTCGAGGGATTCTTCGTGTTCAACCAGTTGATCCAGTGATCCAATGTCTTCTTGATGTTGGCACCAGTAGGCTTCGCTGAGCTTCCTTGTTCGTCCTTCAAAAGGTCAGCGTGGGTCTGATCAAACTTGAACCATGTTATGAGCACATCCCAGGTGACCCGAACATCGTTATGACATCCATGTAACTCATTTGGGGATGATAGATTTTGCTCTCTCTTTCCTAAAGTATTTATTACCTTTGCAGGGGGGTTTTATTTTTTCTCATTTAGCAAATGCTGGACCCCATTGGTTGGTCATGCAGACTAGTTCTCACCAAGTCTCTCTTTTTCTGGGATTCAACAGTGGCTGTTGCATGCAGACTAAAATCTCACTCTTATAAGTCTCTTTTTTTCTGGGATTCAGCAGTGGTCGCTGCAACCAGACTAAAATCTCACTCTTGCAAGTCTCTCTCTTTCTGGGATTCTTCTTATTCTTCTTGTAAGTCTGTTTCTCCACCATTTCTCTATTGTTCTGCATTTTCTTGGTTTTGTTGCATGTTTTTCTTGATTAATTGTGTTTGATGAGTTCTTCAATTTAATGGGCTTTTCTTTTCTTATTTCTTTACAGATTATATGTATGTTTAATTTTTATTTATTTATATATTTTTTTGGTTTACAAAGTTTTATTCAATTTGATGTCCTTTTCTTTTCTTATTTTCATTACAGATTGAATGTGTGTTTCATGTAATCTTTTGGGTTTTGGAATTTAATTTGCTATGTTTGAATAAAGGGCGTTTTGTTATTCATTTTTATGCAGAAGGTAATTTGAAGTTTGTGGAGATAGAGAAGGGCTGTTGGATGTTAACCAAAAGAATGGGATTACAGGGGGGTGAGAGCAATAGATTTGGACCTTTTGGTGCTGCACAAACTCAACAGGACCCAAATTCTAATCTGATGGCCAGTCAGGGATCCTTGTGTGGTTTAGATCTTGATGAAGTTGGGAACCAATTCAGGGGAGCCTCCAAGTAGCTTGAATGTTGATGAATTACTCATGGATGTCTGAACTTCTGGGGCTAACAATCAAGAAATGCAAGTTGTTGATTACGAGCCAACCTTTGATCAGCCTGCACTGGACAGTTCTTTGAATCAACATTTGAGCCTCGGGCTATCCCCTGATCTGAACAACGCTGTTGATGAGCTTTGGCAGGATATTCACAGGAGCAGTCTAGATAGGAAGGACATTCTTGGGGATATGACATTGGAGGACTTCTTGGTTACGTCTGGGGTGGTCGCCGAGTCATCTGCCCTGAAAATAAATCCAGGCTCCATTATATGGTTGATCCTGCACAACGAGATCAGTGGAATGAATTTCAGATTCCTGAGATGCATGCACAACTGCAACAAAGCTTGCTGCTGTTTTTGTGCCTGACCATCCAATTCAACTGCCTATTCCAACTGGTGGTAGTCCGATGATAGATGCAGTATATTCTGAAATGGGAATAGTCATGTCTCCATCGACTTTGTTGGCCACTATGTCGTGGACAGAAAGTCCTAGACCACGGAGGGTTCCCCCGGTGTGATTGAGAAGATTGGTGAAAGGAAGCCCAAAGGGATGATCAAGAACCGGGAATCAGCAGCGAGGTCACAATCTAGAAAGAAGTGAGCTTTCATATACTTAGTTTTGCTCAAGTGTTCCCTTTTTCTGTGGCCTACTGGATATTGATTTCTTGATGGGCAGACTTACCAGTATGAGCTCGAGGTTTCATGTCCGGAGGAGGAAAATCAAAGTCTGAAGCAAAGAATGGTAGGTTTTATCATTTATATGCTCAACGTTTTCATAGACCACTAATATTTTAGCAGTTCACTAACATTTTGCATTTTTTTAATGAAGTCCAAACTGCATAATAGCAATAAAGCATTTTTGTATCAGTTTCGAAAATCAATACAGTCTTATCACTTTTTGGTTATATGTGTCTTTATAATATTTTGCATTTTTTAATGAAGTCAAATGCATTCATATAATATCTTCAGCACACAAATTACAAAATTTATTATCTATCAGACACCTTTTCAAGTTTCTTAGATCAATACATTTGAAAGATTGGTACGGATTTTAGGTGTACACTTTCTTTCTGTGAAAAATTGAGCAATATTCATCAACTCCAAAGGCAATTTCTGAACAATTAATCCATGTTAAAAGTTCCCCTCTTGGTTACCATCTTTTAGTACTTCTTTAACTACGAAACTGATCGGTTTTAATAAAGATTCCTTTTTATTCGTCAATAGCCAAACTGGCCTCACCCACTTGTTTCGGAGTCATTGATGGTCATATTAGGAACATATTCAAAATCGCAGAACACGACAAATAACTCTAACCGTCCACCTAGCTTACTAATTTTAATAGTTTCTTGACTAGTTTTGTGAAAAAAAACTTCGTAAAACGACAAATATTTCACCAAATACTAGGTACCTACATCTTAGACCAGCCCTAAGGTACGCTAGGTACCCCAAAAAGTTTAGTTTTCCTATATCTAACACAAATTCTCTCAAGCTCCTCTTACCAAACATTCCTTTCCCTAGATCTATATTATGCAGAACAATCTATATTTTGATACTTCCTTATTCTTCTACTTAACATAAAATATCTCAGTTTCTTCCCCTCTCACTGGATTTTGATTCATTTTAGTTAGCAATTTTCAAATTGTAGCCATTAATCGTGATACACTAAGGCACTGTTTGATTGGCTCCCAATTCCTTGGAAAATGGAAAAGCATTTCCAATTCCTTGTAAAAGTCATGTTTGATAGCATTAATTTGGCCTAGAAATTGTTTTCCAAAAGTGGCCTCACGTGACTTCTTTTCCAATTTTTTAAGGAAAACACTTTCCCATGTTTTTGGTGGTAAATGATTTTCTTTCTTTTTTTTTTTTTTTTTTTTGGTGATCGAAACAAATTTCATAGCCAATTGTAAAANTTTTGTTTTCCCATTTTTTTTTTTAGTTACATTCACAAATGTTATAACTAATTGTAAAAGAAAAAAAAAATCATTTTAATGAACAATTTTCATGTAAAACAAAGTCAAACGAACACTAAATTTTGATTAAAAAAATGATTTTGTAGGAAACAAATTTATTATTATTTTTTTTTAACTTTTCGGCAATGGAAACAAATTTTATAATCAATTGTAGAAAAAATTATCAATTTAATGAAAAATTTCCATGTAAAACAAAGTCAAACGATCACAAAATTTTAAAATTTTCAGGGTGAAAAATTATACCAATCAAACACACTTAATTAACAATTCCCTGGAAAGCAATTTTTTGACAATTACTTTCCCTGGAATTCATTTTCTTTCCACTCATTTTCCACCCTTGTAATCAAACGGACCTAAGTGCACTTTGAACAAAACTAGACAGCATTATGAACAAAATTCTAGCTTCTATTGCTTCCATAATACTCTCTAGTACTATAAAATTCTTCATGTCCAAGACTCCATAAGAGAACTGAGCATAAATTTTAGGGAGATAACTGATGCAAGTCAACCTGGTCTGTTCCTATATTTGAAACTATAAAGTGACATTGTTACTGATATAAAGGTCTCTCAAAGAGCTTGATTCTGGGGTTTCTGGCCATGTATTTCAAATTGACGTGGAATGGTAAGAAAGAGCTATAAGGATCCTCCAAGGAACCTTATAATACTGAGAAACTTTTCACGTTTTTATTCAAATTGATCCTCCCCTGGAACATAGCACACCCAAATTTGATCCATCAAGACTTGTAGTTTTGAAATCCCTACAAATGAAAATTAACGAACATCACCCAAGCATGCCTTGGCTAGAAGCAAAATGATTGAGATTTTTGGAATTTGGAATTGGGATCGATGGTGAAATATGGAGTGGTATTAACTGCAGAATATTTTTATTATAATGAAAAGACAGATATAAGAAGATCTACAAGAAAAAATTTCTCAACATGATATATGATGGTCTTCCATATCAAAGAGATGATTTTCAAGGTTTCATTTTATTCAAGTTTGGAACTAAATTTACTGCCTTTTCCCAAGAAACTTTGGTTACTTTTCTCTTTAGTTGTCAGCATTATGAGCAGCACTCAGTCCTTTCATTTCGTAATTAGCTTTAGTTGTCAGCATTATGAGCAGCACTCAGTCCTAGCAAAACTAAGGTACCAAACTAGTGTTGGCTGGTGCACTCCAAAACACACACACAAAAAGAGAATGAAAATGAAATAGTGTCAACTGGTGAATCAGTTTCTTGGTTAATGAGTTGATATTGGATAAAAGGTTGCTTAGAGAAGTAATAAAGTTTCGTGACAAATGTGATGACCGGTACGACCTCTAAAATAACTTTGTTTTGTAATAATTACCAAATCATTAATAAAGCTTGCAATTTAAGTGCATTTTATGAAAACAGAATATGATTGATTTTTGCAGATTTAGTTTGAATCTAGATTTGTTTAGATTATATAGGTTTTGTATTTTGATAAGTGTGTGATGTGTTAGAAGTTCGCTTTATAAGTAAAATGGCGTGGTGGAAGTTTCCGTGAATATAATTATTCCTAGAATTTTAGCATTCCAATTATATTGTTGAGAAGAAAGATTTGCATGTTCTACCTTGTTGAGTTGTTGTCATTTGCTTTTGTTAAACATTGTGCTTAACATTTTGGGTCCAATGATGTAACCCAATTAATGGCTCTATGATGCAGTCCAAATTAATGTTGTCCAGCCAATTTGATAGAATGTAACTCGGCGGCCTATTTCCGTTTGTGTATTCTCGTCTTTTGTTGAAATGCGATTTTATTTTTATTTTTGAACGGCTGTGATGATGCCGACAGAAGATGGAGCTACTGTTGGATGCTTCTGATTTTTCCAATTATTTGGCTGACTCCTCATTTTGGGTAAATGCTTCGAGATATTGGTTTAGGGTTTTCTCTCTTTTGCTCTATGTGCTCTCTCTCTCTCTCTCTCTCTCTCCCTGAAAACTCTTGGTTTTCGTATGTAATCTTTTGGTTTTAGATATTTTTGATGAAGTCCAGTGTAGATTGTTGTATAATTTTTGGTGATTCTATTCTTGGTTGAGCAGTAACATTAGGTTACTTTGTGTAATCGGAGTTGAGTGTTCTTAAAAGAAGAAATTGGGTCGGAGGGTTAAATCCGTTCGGATTTCTTTACTTGGAAACGTGTATTGATATTTTTTGTTGGTTTCTAGTGGATTAGAGAGATAACCACTTTGGTGGAAGCTCAACGTGTGATTAGCCATTTTCTAGGGTGACATTCAGGCCTAAGGGTGAAAAATTACTGATGTTCTTTTATTTTTGCTATGCGCTTGGTGTTACTTGGGACTGTTTGTTACAACAGCTATTCAACCACTAGAGGCTTACAAACACTTACAACACAACATATCTTCATCAATTTTCGTGTATTTTTTAAATACTCCATTTGCATTTTCATAACTCATTGTAAGAACTTGCAGGAGGTGGAGCTCATATTGCCGGGAGAACCACTGCTAGAGCCGAGGTATCAACTGTGCAGAACCAGATCAGCTTCTGTATGAGGATTAGGATTTGATATTCCTGTTGCATATCTATCTATAAACTACCTTGGCTTTCTTTCCCTGTGAATTTGTTTCCTATATGCACATTTTAAAGTATCAACTTGGAGTTTTGAGAGTGGTTTGGTTATCTGTGTCTTGGATTTTCATAATATATGAGACTTACTTAAGAGCATAATTTTATCAATTATTTATATTTAGATGAATTAATGTGCAAGTAGAAGTCAGGCTAAATATTATCTCCAAATCGTCCTGACTGAAAACCGATATCATTTAGGGATTGCTTAAGCCAACAAAATAAATTTTATTTCCAGTAAATTTGAAGTCAGCTGCATTGATTCTTTCAGCGGGGCATGAAATGACTTGAGGCAAATTCTTGTACAGAAACTCTCAAATTGTGCACCAGATAACAACAGTGATTTTCCATTGAGAATAACATTTTCGTATAAATGTTATTTTTTCTAATAATAAACATTGCGAACATCAATTTTTATATAACGTATTTGGTGCATTGAAACACATAAAATTCAATGGGATTAAGAGAAACAGATGATAAATCTTGTTAGTTACCGTATTTAACGTGTCGAGTTTAGTGTACCAAACACGTTAACGTGTTTTCTTTGTGTATCATTCCTCGGATTGGCACAAAAAAACTACATCAGCATTATAATCACTGCAGTATAGACAAGGATGCTGCATAAAAACCCTGCATTTTTAAAATCTTCCTAGCCATCGTCACAAGTTGTTCGTTGCTCAAAGGCTCTGAAATCTCCTTCAAAAGCATTTGCACAGCATTACTAAATGCCCCACGTGCTTTTCCTCCATTCTCCATCATTTGCACATCTGCAGAAGTTTCATCTATTT